AATATTCTATGCATGCCCAGCAGAGGATCTGAAAAATAGACACCAATGGTTATCTGTGAGCCTATGAGACTTTTTTTGCCTTTTTCTTTCTTGTCAGTATTTCTCCTTTTTCTACAGTGAGCATGAACTCTTTTTTTAAAGGAAATAAATTACTGAGAAAAACTTAATTTCAAAGACAATACAAAAAGCCCTCCAGGTGTTTTTCCTCTCTCAATAGCACTGCACCTTGCTGTACAGAACAAAATGCCCCCCGTCAAAAAGAGAAAAGCAAGACACCACCTGGTACGCTGTCCATGTGGGCCAGTAATTCTTCTTTCCCTGAACTAAATCAGTACAAGTTACATTACATTAAGGCATCCTTTGGGGCTTTGTAGTCTGCTATTCAGCTGGCCATAACAGGTATACTTTCTTCTTTGGCTAGGGGAATGGGTTTTCTTTTACAAATGAAGAGGATGCTGTACCCAAAGAGTAAGGCTAAGATGGTGTAGTGGCACAGGCCTGTAATTCCAGCAGTTTAGGTGGCTGAGGTAGGAGGATCACAAGTGCAAGCCCCAGCCTGTATAACATGGACATAGTGAGACAATGTTCAGAAAAAACATTAAAAAGGGCTGGAGATACAGTTCAGTGCAAAGGCTGGGGCTTTAATCCACAGTGGCAATGGGATTTTTTAAAATACATATAAGTAAAGCTATACATGAAGTATGTAGTAAAATTAGAGGAAGGAACCATATTGCCTTTAAGAGGATCACAAAGCCTGTGCTGGTACAGAAGAAACAACACTGGGGTTTCAAGGTACAGACAGACCCAACCTAAAGGCATTTTTGATCGGTTGTCCCACACAGCAAGGTATAAATCTTGAACAGGAAACTTGAAATCATTAAGGTCACATATTTATAACATCATATTCAATTAGGTTAGAAAAGTGCAATATCTGTCATCATGTCATAAAAGATGTGTTTTTCCCTCAGATCTCTGAGAAAGAGAAGCTCCCAATATTGTTATAGATAGGGCTGTTTTCAATCAGTTACAAGAAGCAATTCAATTACGAGACGGTTTAGTGCAGTAACTGACTCCAGACTAATTTAATTTCTTCAGGTCTCTAAAGATCAATTGATCGGATTTGTCCCATCCCCAAAGGCTGTTTAGGAAAAACTCAGGCTTAAATACCTGGAAGTGAAATCCAAAACCTTGGCTGATTTCACACCCCCTGGGTCACCTCACAGACTTTGATCTGGCTGCGTAGAGCGCTCCTTGGCCCTCAGATCACTAAAGCGACTTCACCTCCCCTACTTGTGCTGAGAGCTGCCAGGTCAGGGCGCTTATTCAAAGAGTGGGAAACATGGCCTGCACTCCATCAAATCCGCCCTTCTCGGGTAGGCAGGCTGGGTCCTCCCACCCCATAGCCACCAGTGTGACTGTATGGCCATTTTACTCGAGGAGTCACACGTGGAAAAAGGGAAAGCAGACTTAGGTGGGAAACAAACCAATCCATGCCAGGCTCCTCTCATAAGATGGGGCCCTTAGCGTTATTGTGCCTTTTGTGATTTATGGAGCGCTCCTGTAAATGTTGTCTTCAGCGATGCTGCAATAAACCTTTGAGCCAGCAGGGCTACTGTCCCCATTTCTAGTTGATGAAACAGATTGTAAAGTCCGGCGACTCCTGTAGGATCTCTCACCCAGGAAAAGGCAGAGCTGCACCTCCACCCCTGATGATTTCCTGCGGGCAGAGTGAGCCTCCCCACCCACCTGTGACAAGTGCTCTACTACGACAGCACCACTTTACTGCCCCCAAACCTCCTTGGTCTTCATTCTTAGGAGCCCCAAGCAAACTGGGAAAACACTCACTTAAAACCATCCCAGCCACAAAAACTCCTCTGGGTGGGAGCTTCTGACACTCAGAAGAGGATGGAAAAGTCATTCCTAAAGGAAGGCGCCTTCGTTGTCCACACTGCTGTTACCAGGTTCTCGCTGACTTCTGTCCCCCTTGTCAGAGATCTGCCCCCTTGCCTTCCTTCTCCACTTTGCACTGGGTTTTTCCACCCTGAGCCCAATCTCTTTCCCTGATCTCACCACCCTCACCTCTCCAAATAATTAATCTCTTTTTGACTCACATCACACAGTTTTGCCCAACATGAAGCCAGGCCTCCTGACTTCCCTGCCTCCCCACCCAGCCTCTGTCTGTCTCCCCCACCCGATCAAACCACCTTCCCATGCTCGGCCACTTGGGGAGGCTTAGAACAAACCAGACAGAGGTGGCTAAAGCATGGAACTGGCCCTTCCTTGGTGCTGCTGGGAGAGGCTGGGCAGAAGCGCTGAGGTCAGGTGTGACCATGCGATAGGCAACAGAGTGAGGCGGAAATGTGCCCATGTGGTGGGCAAATCTCAGGAAGACGAGAAGATGCAGTGACTCACAGGGCTGCTGTCTCAGTTCTCCACCTGCCTACAAGGGCATCGGGCCACACAAAAAGAAGAAGTGCAGAAAACGCATGTGCTGAAGAAATTCAAATGATGGACAGGTTGAGAATCTCTTTGGCAGAGACATTTCTGACACTGGTATTGGACAAACTATGGATCGTGATACAGTCATGAGCTTCACCTGGAAGGTCTCAAACCACAGGAAGCATCGTAACTGAAAGAAGTGGGGGAAGTTACAGGTCCACGATTACCACTTATCTTCTTAGGGTCCTGATGTTTCTCCTAGGGAAGATAAGCAGCCTACTCCGTGGGTAAAACTATGTGACCCTGAAGGAAATGACATCGCCTTGTTTCAGAATTCCAAGTTGCCCTTGTGCACTTTGCGTTTACAAATATATCCGCTTCAGATACCAAAGGCCATCACGGCCCCATTTCTCTGAAGACTGCCCCTCATCAAAACTCGGATGGTATAGCATCAAGAGGACTAAGTCTTTGACAACATCCGCCCTGTGCTCACGGTCAGTAAGTACCCTGACCAAAGCAGTATCTTCACTTAGAAATCAAGTGTATGAAGTTTGGTGTGGTGCTCTCAAGATATGAACAGCTGTGTATCTGCAGGGTTTATAGCAGGAAGGAAAGGACACGGAAACTCGGAGGAGGCCACACAGAGTAAAGTTAGGCATCATGACCCATGTGTTCTTACGAACTCACTCTTCTCTTTATCTGACCTGGATGAAAAGTAAACAGAAAATTCTCATTACCTCTCGATGTCAGTGAGCCTGGAGGAATCCCGGAATCCTTTGGCGAAAGGATTGCTGTCTATTTTCAGCTTGGTTATCTGGAAAGGAAAGAATGGGTACAAAACAATCTCATTTCTGGGTCAAAGAAGTAAAATCAGAAACAAAATGTCTTCATTTCCATAGCACCCCAAGAATATCACAGTTGGGTCAGGGATTTAGCTCAGTGGTTGCGCCCCTGCCTCACAAGCACAAGGTCCCGAGTTCCATTCCTGGTACCAAAAAAAAAAAGAATATCACAATGTCTGTCAGCATTGTGACAGGGTTTAGAGTGTTAGACAAGTTCACCACAAGGATGGGTCACGGCCAAGCTGGACCCAGTTAGGCTGGGGTCTTTCAGGAGAGGTGGACAAGAACTGGGGTGGGATATGTGTGACACAGTAGTGACAGGCGATGGCAGGACAGGAGGGAGCCACATTGATGGGGAGCTGCTTAGAGTTCCAGCATTCCAGGGAATGGGGAATAAACACAAAAACATCCATTCTGACTCGGCAACATCTTGTTAGCACTACGAGCAGGTACCGACACCGGGACGGAGGAAAGATGACATGTCCAGTAACAGCATCGTGTGCAATGTCACAGTGATATACACGACAGAAACACATGGCACGGAGCCTTCAGAATATGAATTCATTCCCAGCCCATCCATTTGACTGAATTAGAATCTAATCAGTCCAGCTTTTGTTGTTCTTTAGAGAACCCTATGTTTCTATGGAAACAAATACTTCCTAGTACGAATTGCTGTCTCGCACTTCAAGTGTCTACGCCAGGGCATCTGTAGTCCGTACAGGACTCAGTGAATGCAGGGAGAAGCACACACCACACGGGCCCTGCCTCCTGAGAAAGACACCGCGGGCTGTGAGCAGAAGTAAAGGGGACACTGGTCAAACCTCCTCCACACAGCAAATCCCCGTGAGAGCTGAGAGGGGCCTTAGAGACCACGAGCGCACGGCCTTGCCTGACAGATGGTCACGCCGAGGACAAAGAGGGTGAGGACCAAGGCACTCGAGGCAGTGGCCGAGTTAGAACCCAGGGAGAGGCCCTCAGAAGCGGCAGAGCTCATGAGCACCAGAAGCAGGGCCCACATTCATCTTTGGAGAGAAACATACACAAAATGCACTGACCAAGGGCCAGAGCTTTAGCTCAGGGGCTCAGTGCCTGCCTTGCAAGTGCAAGGTCCTGTGTTCGATCCCTGGTACCCCGCCCCCCAAAAATGCACTGAACAGAGGGAAAAGCTATGGGGGAGATGAGGCCTGTCCTCCTCACAGAGCAAGAAGCCAGCAAAACACAGAGCCTGAAACACTGCTTCCCTAAAAGCCACTTTCCCTCAGTTTAGAGCATTTCCACAGCTCATTTTAAACTCTTAGCGCCCCTCCCATTGTCTTTTCACTACAAGAGTTCTTTTTTCTTTTGCAAATTTTCCTAAAGTGAGTTGAACCTGAAGCAATGCAATAAAGCTCACCCTGACCCTTTCCACTCATCAAAACTCGGATGGTATAGCATCAAGAGGACTAAGTCTTTGACAACATCCGCCCTGTGCTCACGGTCAGTAAGTACCCTGACCAAAGCAGTATCTTCACTTAGAAATCAAGTGTATGAAGTTTGGTGTGGTGCTCTCAAGATATGAACAGCTGTGTATCTGCAGGGTTTATAGCAGGAAGGAAAGGACACGGAAACTCGGAGGAGGCCACACAGAGTAAAGTTAGGCATCATGACCCATGTGTTCTTACGAACTCACTCTTCTCTTTATCTGACCTGGATGAAAAGTAAACAGAAAATTCTCATTACCTCTCGATGTCAGTGAGCCTGGAGGAATCCCGGAATCCTTTGGCGAAAGGATTGCTGTCTATTTTCAGCTTGGTTATCTGGAAAGGAAAGAATGGGTACAAAACAATCTCATTTCTGGGTCAAAGAAGTAAAATCAGAAACAAAATGTCTTCATTTCCATAGCACCCCAAGAATATCACAGTTGGGTCAGGGATTTAGCTCAGTGGTTGCGCCCCTGCCTCACAAGCACAAGGTCCCGAGTTCCATTCCTGGTACCAAAAAAAAAAAGAATATCACAATGTCTGTCAGCATTGTGACAGGGTTTAGAGTGTTAGACAAGTTCACCACAAGGATGGGTCACGGCCAAGCTGGACCCAGTTAGGCTGGGGTCTTTCAGGAGAGGTGGACAAGAACTGGGGTGGGATATGTGTGACACAGTAGTGACAGGCGATGGCAGGACAGGAGGGAGCCACATTGATGGGGAGCTGCTTAGAGTTCCAGCATTCCAGGGAATGGGGAATAAACACAAAAACATCCATTCTGACTCGGCAACATCTTGTTAGCACTACGAGCAGGTACCGACACCGGGACGGAGGAAAGATGACATGTCCAGTAACAGCATCGTGTGCAATGTCACAGTGATATACACGACAGAAACACATGGCACGGAGCCTTCAGAATATGAATTCATTCCCAGCCCATCCATTTGACTGAATTAGAATCTAATCAGTCCAGCTTTTGTTGTTCTTTAGAGAACCCTATGTTTCTATGGAAACAAATACTTCCTAGTACGAATTGCTGTCTCGCACTTCAAGTGTCTACGCCAGGGCATCTGTAGTCCGTACAGGACTCAGTGAATGCAGGGAGAAGCACACACCACACGGGCCCTGCCTCCTGAGAAAGACACCGCGGGCTGTGAGCAGAAGTAAAGGGGACACTGGTCAAACCTCCTCCACACAGCAAATCCCCGTGAGAGCTGAGAGGGGCCTTAGAGACCACGAGCGCACGGCCTTGCCTGACAGATGGTCACGCCGAGGACAAAGAGGGTGAGGACCAAGGCACTCGAGGCAGTGGCCGAGTTAGAACCCAGGGAGAGGCCCTCAGAAGCGGCAGAGCTCATGAGCACCAGAAGCAGGGCCCACATTCATCTTTGGAGAGAAACATACACAAAATGCACTGACCAAGGGCCAGAGCTTTAGCTCAGGGGCTCAGTGCCTGCCTTGCAAGTGCAAGGTCCTGTGTTCGATCCCTGGTACCCCGCCCCCCAAAAATGCACTGAACAGAGGGAAAAGCTATGGGGGAGATGAGGCCTGTCCTCCTCACAGAGCAAGAAGCCAGCAAAACACAGAGCCTGAAACACTGCTTCCCTAAAAGCCACTTTCCCTCAGTTTAGAGCATTTCCACAGCTCATTTTAAACTCTTAGCGCCCCTCCCATTGTCTTTTCACTACAAGAGTTCTTTTTTCTTTTGCAAATTTTCCTAAAGTGAGTTGAACCTGAAGCAATGCAATAAAGCTCACCCTGACCCTAAGCAGCCTTTTCAAGGAGCTGCCCCACCAAAACAATCTGAGCTGGCTGGGCTGCTCTTCTCTGTCAGTAACACTGCCAAGATGGATCCTGGGAAAATAGCAATCTTCCAGGGCATTCGAAGGTGTCCAAAGTGCTCGGCTTTTATCCATGAACATGCTCTACAGGTACAGCAGCTGAGAAGAAAGACTGATTTCCATTTCAGCGTAGTTATGGAAATGAATGAAGGGAGGGAATACGGTTAACAAACAGAAACCCGTTTGCAATGGAGAGCAAAGCCCCCCAGAGTGTGCACAGAAAGAAATGTACAGGAATCAGGGAGGCATGGTGGGGCACACATGCAATGCCAGCACTTTGGGAGGCTGAGGCAGGAGGATGGCAAGTTTGTGAAACTGTATCTGAAAATGAAAAAATTATAAAAGGGCCTGGGAATGTAGCTCAGTGGAAGAGGCCCTTGGGTTTGGTCCCTAGTACCACAGGTGGGGGGTGTCGCAGCAGTGCCACCTCTATAAGGTGCCCTTTAAGAGTTTGTAAAGAACTTGTCTTGCACAGAGCTGCTGCTTCTTGAGGAGTTGTCTGCCTCAGACATTACTTTTGTAGGTCAGTTTTTGAGATGGAAGAGAAATCTGCATTTGTTTGAAGGAACTGTAAACATCTTCAGCCCTGACAATGCGTAGTTCTAAGGTTATAAGCACCAAGATTTTAACACCCGCAAAGACGTGAGCTAGGTCTCATCCTACAGAACACTTACACTTTAAAAGATGCTCTATTTCCAAAGAGCTTTACAGTCCACAAAAACGCTTTCACAGTCGTTCATCAACAACTGACTACTTAATTCGACTGGTGACCTTGCCTGGGTGCTGTGCCAGATGCCAAGGAGGACAGGGATGGAGGACACAGGGTCTCTGCCCTAAGGGAGCTGAGAGCCCGGAGCAGGCAGAGTTATTGCCTAACCAGGATGGGGAGGTGGCGCCTGACCCTGCAGAGCCAGTGACTTTAAGGGTGGATCAAACCCCCTGAGAACTCCAGGCTGGAGCAGGGACAGGGCAGCAACGGTGAGTCTTCCTCCAGGGGCACAGTTAGAAGACTGGAGAGTGAGTGGATCTGCAGAAGCTCCAGGTGTCTGGAGATGGTCATGGGGCACGCATCTGAATGAGACACTGTTAAGGAAAGAAGTTCTTTCACCGCCAGCCCTCCTCACTGTGAGCCGGAGCAGTGTCCCGTGCACATAAACCGGAACAGAAAAAACCATCTGCTCTATGGGCAAACACTTTGTCCCTGAAAAATTCTCAATTTCTGTCTGTTCTCTGCCTTTCCAAACAGCCCAGGACATGAGGAGTGTGTCACCCCTTAGATTCTTTTTTTTTTTAAATTTAATTTATTGGTACATTCTAGGTAGAAAGTAGTTTCATTCATTACTGGGATCTTGTACCTTTACATGCCAGGTCTTGGTTCTCATTTTTTCCCCTTAGATTCTTGAGTATTGCTCTCAACACGCACGTGGTCTGTCCCTTCTCTAGTTACTGTATTAACTCTGAACAAGGAAGTCAGTAAGTTCAGAGGGCATTTTCAGGTTTCTTTGAATTTTCTTTCATGATTAGAATGATCTACTTCAAATAGCTTTTAAACTCAGCTTTCATAATCCCTAGAAGTTTCGATGTTAACTTTTTCTCTACACTCTGAATTTCAAACTTCAGAAAAGTTGCAAGAATAGCTAATACGGTGTTGTAATCCAGATTTTCCAATTAGGTTCAGCAATGACTTAAATTTAGGGAATCTATTAGAAAAAGCGGATTTGGGACATTTGCCAGATATTTATTTTCTTTGTGGGCCATTTTACCTAATTCCGGAGAAAATAATTGTGTTCACGTTAGAGAAAAAAAGTTGAATGAATTTATTGTCACTAAAATTGCATGGAGACTTTGAGTAGATACTCTATCTTTATGCCATTTCATTTTATTTTATTTTACTTGTTAAATCCAGGGAGTTCTGAGCTGTATGTATCCCCAGACTTTTTTTTTAACCTGCGTATTCTTTCTTCTATGTTTCTTAGTACATATTTGCTGCAAGTAATAAATATATTCATGGTAGGGGGAGCTGGTAGATGTATATAACACACCTCGATTCTTTCTATTTCCTCTTCTTCTCCTCCTCTCCCCTCCAGCTCTAGTTTCACATCCCATTTTCAAAAAGATCAATCTCCATATTTTGTAGTACCTTTTATTTGGCTCTTTAAATTATTCATTCTTTTGGGTTTCTAAAGGGCCAAGCAGCAGCTCAAGTCCTACGGGTTAAATTTATTTGTGAGTCCCCCAAACTTAGTGGAATTTTGGTGGAGGTGGAGCCTTCCAGGTGTCCACAATAAGAACTGGGAAAGATTTGTTGATATTTACTTCAAAACCAAGTAGCCTGAAATATGATTGCATTTTTAAGTAGTTACAACTTAGGTAAAACTGTATGTTTACTCACATGTACTTTGTACTGTTTTTAAATTTTAAGATAAAATAATTTTTAAATAGTAAAATGTTCACATTTTAGCTACCATATATATTAAAAGGTCAAACGTAAATTTTATCCTATGACATTTAAATAAAAACCCAGTAGCTATACAGAAAGAAACAGACTTTCTTTCTTTTTTTTTTCTTGTACCAGGGATCAAACTCAGAACCTTGACCTTGCAAGGCAGGCATAATGAAACTAAGCTAAATCCCCAGCCCAGAAATTCACTTTCAAAGTGCAGTTTCATGAAATCTGTGATAAATGAAAAAATAGCACAGTGAGAGCTGATGAGAAAAAGGGGCTGAGTGTGGACAGGTGGATATCAGTCCACTTGTGCTGTAATAGAGGGACCCTACAGCTTGTCCGGGCAATATAACCCTTGTCAAAGGTTATACTAAAAGAATTATCAAAAAAGAATCCAGGGCTGGGGATTTAGCTCAGTGGTTCTGGTGCCTGCCTCATAAGCACAAGGGACTGAGTTCAATCCCTGGTACCAAAAGTAATAAATAATAATAATCCAGATTTGTGGGGGAGGTTGGGAGGTGGCACAAGCTAGTAATCCCAGCACTCTCGGAGGCTGAGGCAGGAGGATTGCAAATTTGAGCCTAGCCCGGGCAACTTAGTGACTTAGTAAGAGCCTGTCTCAAAAAAGCAAAACAAAAAGGTTGGGGATGTAGGTCAATGTGAAGACCCTGGGTTCAATCCCCAGTGTAGAAGATGAATGATGAATGAGTCAATCAAGCAACCACTAAGCATCATTTCCAGAGAACCAAAGGTGTGGCTTCTTCATCATTCCAAAGAAAAATTTTAAAGCAGCAGTATTCATGTGGTGCAAAGAGAAAGTATTAATGAGTCAGGACAGCAATACATGCTTCAGAAATCTCTGCTGAGTATGCATCAACACACAGCCAAATTACTGCTAGTTCAGGCCCCAACACAATGCTATTTCCTCATGTATCATGATAACGATGTAGAACGCAAGGCATCTCCAAGCCAGAAAGTCCCCTCTTTCAGCACCTCCGCCCTGTGCTCAGAAACACAGATTCTGATACGACCAGCTGTGCCTGGGGAAGGGGCTTCTGTAGAACTTGTTCCTCCCTGGATGTTGTGGGACTCGAGTCCAGAGGGCTTCCCAGCCCTGGGAGAAATTGGCCCTCAGAGACCATTTCTCCAATTAGCAAGAGAAGAACTGACCGAAGGCATTTAAAAATGAAACCTGACCTACACTTCAACTCTACAGAATGATTTGCCTGTGCAGGAATCATGCGTGACCTTTAAATCTAAAATTATAAAATAGTTTGTTGAAAGTGTAATGTATTTAGCTTTTACCTAGTAATGGAAAGAAATGCAATTGTCCCCTTGCAAAAACCAGAAAAAGAAATAGCAAAACAAGGTCCCACTTATACAACTGATAAATAAAGCTACCAGCCCCAATGGAATGAAAAGTTTTTTATCCTTACAAATTCTATTAAAAATTTCAATTTCAATTTTAACAGGCATAATAATAACAGTTCTATGCAAAATTTAAGGGATATGAAAGTGCTCCTAAATATGAACTTCATATATTTTCTTTGTGCATATAAAAGTGCCAATATTTCTGCCATACATAGTATATATTTATTTTGTTTCTACCTCACATGATTCTATTATCTGTTTACTATAGGAAAACCAATACACAGACTCAATATACTGCTGAAGAAGCAAGTAACATGGGGAGGGCTAGGAAGAGTTAAGGATAACTTTAAAAATGGCATAGGGCCACGGATTTAGCTCAGTGGTTCTGCTGCCTGCCTTGCGAGCACAAGGACCCAAGTTTGATCCCCAGTACAAAAAAAAAGCATAGAACTAGTAAAAAATGGTAACGTGCAAATTAATTTATTCAACCCACATGTTTTTGAGCAGAGCCATATGAATTTTGATTCACATTTAGAAAGCACTTGCAAAACTGGCCAATCAGAACATCAAGTCAAGGCTTTGACTATGAATTCAGTTATATATCTGGCTTGATGCTAAGATCTATGGTTCTAATGGTGGATGCACAGAAATGAACTTAGAGACAGAAGTGTTTATTGAGGAGATTAGTTCTGAGTTTAGCTGCTTCCACTGTAGGGTACTCAGCAATGGAATGATGTGATAACCATAGTAATCTTTGTAGTTCATGCTCGAACCAAGAATGTCACCATTCTTATAGGTGAACTTTGAGCCCATTTGCAATATCAAGTAGAAATAAACATTATCAAGAGGAGCAACCACCACTGGAATCTGCATCAATCAGAATCAATCTATTTTAATTTAGCAGGTTATCAAATTCAGTTTTCAGATTTTTGACACTGGTGATGGCCACTTCCTTGGTCTCACAATATATCACTGTGCCATCAAAACACAGAAACTAAGAGTCAGAATATCTAGATCTGTCACTTATCAAAACTGCAGCCTTGGCAGAGGGTCCTAATCATGCGGGGCCTCAGTCTCTTCATCTAGAGAATGGTACTCATAGGGCTTCCTTGGAGGATTAGTGTTAGAATTCAATCAAATTATTATTTTTTTAATGTAAGAAGATTTTTCTCAACTAAAAATAATAAATTCAAATCATGAACTTTAGTTGGATCCTAGCTGCCAGAGGAAAAAAAAGGTTATAAAGGGCATAATTCATTCATCCTAACATTTTTAATTAAACTGAATATTAGGTGACATTAAGGAATAATTCTTAGCAATTTTCTTAGCTGCCATAAAAGATATTATGATTCAAAAATAACATTCTTATTGCCATAGAAATCTTTAAAAGTGTCACGATGTCGCATATCTCTGTGTCAAATGATTCAAGGGAGGGGAAAGTATGTGGTCATACAGAAGGAGAAGGGAGAGAAAAAGAAGAAAAACAAATTGGGGAAAATATTACTGTTGAATCTGAGTGGTGGGTGTATGGGGTTCATTCTACCTGTTTTGTATATTTGAAATTTTTCTAACTAAAATAGTTGAGTGGAAGAAGCACTGAAGAGATAACGTCATTAAAGGCGTGCAGCTCCTACTGGCCCCAGCCAGAGCTGGCAGATCTCCGGAGCTGCAAATTAGGATGGGACCCACCTGCTGCATCCTGTGCCAGCGGATGAACAGCAAGTGGTTGTTTAAGCAGGAAGCCGGAGGAGCGGGGTAGTGGGAAAGGGGAAGAAAAAGAACTGAAATCCTCAGAAAATGATGGCTCAGAGTCCATCAGAGTCAAACTGAGAGGAGGTGACATTCTGGAGAGCAGCACGGAAGTTAAGGACAGCCACTCTCGAGTCTAACCCCCTGGATTAAAATCTGTGACGGAAGCAGCCAGGTCACCTTGGGTGACTTATTTAACTTGTGCCTCAGTTTCCTCAATTCTGCAATGCAGAATAAAAACAGTATGGTTCCTATCTCATAATATCATTGTCAAGATTAAATAAGATAAGGCCCTTTGGTGCTTTAAGTACCTAAATGTTAGTCATTATAATCAAATAATAATAATAATAATACCCTCCTATTTCACTGTACTAAGGAGAGGTCCTGCCTCTCTATTACTTTAGGATAGCCCTGTCACCTATTAAACAAAATCTAAGGCACTATGTTTTAAACCTCCTTTAGTTTTTTTGTTCTAGCTCTATAATTTTTACTAAATACACACACACACACACACACACACACGCACGCACACACCTTATTATAGTCTTGATTTAACCCTCTGAATAGAGAATTTTGATAAAAGCACCAAACTTCCACATGACAAGTTTTTATTTTATTCCAAACCATCAATAGGACTTCTTAAATTTTTACAAATCTAATATTTAAAGTTTTAAATCCAATTGCTGCAAAATGAATTGAATGTTTCTGAATCTATGAGAGTTGAGTTCCATGCCAGAATTCCAGGGGATAGCACTGGTTTGGGGGTTTTTGTGGATTCCAGTTGATACCCAAAGCTTTAGTCTGGGTGTTCTCTGAAAGATTTCCCTTCTGTGTTGTCACTTGGGAGATAACTGAGCAGCCATAGTACTTTACTTTTATAATAAGATGGTTCACATGATAACAACCACTCACTCTTTTACCTCATTCACACCACTAAGATTTTAAAATCCAAATGGTGATGAATTCTCTTTTGAAATTCCTGAGATGGTGCAGCCTCACAGTTTGCAAAGGCAGTTTATTTACACCACATCTGATCTTCACAGCAGACCCCTAAGACTGCTTAGTTGTCAGCCCCAGTTTTCAGATAAACAAAATGGCAGCCATGGTGAGGAAATGAGACCTAGTCAAAGTCCTACAGGAAGTAGGGGTGCTTAAGCTTTCCATGTCCACTCTGGCCACTGGCCCACAGCCTCTGTCTGGACCTGCATTTTCTCAGCCCCATTTGGCTTTTCCAAAGAGACTGCCCCATATCTCCCCAGCTTGGCTATCCCAGGATGGACTCTGGGTTCCCCACAGACAGCACCTAACAGTTATTTATTTGGAGCCCAAAATACAGTATCTCAAGAGGAGACTACCTACAGCTAATCGGATAGAAAAGGCAGGACACAAAGTCCTAGGAGGGCTATTAACAGTCAGATTTAAGTATGAGAGTATGAGAGTATTAGTTCTTCTGAGAGTATGAGTTCCTGTTACTGCAGTATCTAGATTTCAAAGGGCATTCTAGCTGGGCATGGTGTGCAGGCTGATGCACTCTGGGAGGTGCATCTCTCTGGCCGGTGTACTCTGGGAGGCTGAGGTAGGAGCACTGCAAATTTGAGCACAGCCTGGGCAGCTCAGTGACTTAGCAAGACCCTGTCCCAAAATTAAAAAAAAAAATGTAAAAGGGACTGGGGATGTAGCCCAGTGCAAGGGCTCTGAGCTCAATACTCAGTACCTAAAAGAAAAATTCTACTTCTGGTCTTTCGTCTATGTCTGTCCTGGCCCCAGCCTCCTCCTGTAGGGAGTATTACTATTCTACGAGCCTTCCAAGCTCTGTAGGCCACGACAGAAGAAATTTATAGGGCTGTGTCCAGCAGGTTGGGCCCTCAGTGGGATCTTGATGGGTATTTACAAAGTTAGATGAAACCTCAGGGATGAAAAAAATGGATAAATATGAAATATGAGGTACCATAGAGAGAAGATATATGACCCAATATTATAAATTGGATATCTTGAGGTTAATTAAATGCATAATAGTTTACATCCTTTAGTTTATTATCTAAAGAGACATTAAAGCCCTTTTTCTAGAATTATCCTAAATTACAATAGAATTAGATACTTAAATATCACAAAATATCTAAAGTATCAGTAGCTCAGGTAGTCAAAGATGTGTGTTTAATTGATCAGAAAAATTGAACTTTAAAATTTTATGAAGCAATAAGAATGTGCTTCTGCATGTTATCAGGAAGAAGGAGTGGAAGTGGGTAATCTTCTGGAGAAGAAAAATTGAGAAGGCAGAACTGGGTAATCTCAGCACTCTGGGAAGCTGAGGCAGAAGGATCATAAGTTTGAGCCCAGCACCCAGCCTGGGAAATTTAGAAACTTAAGAAGGCTTAGTCTCAAAACAAAATGGCTGGAGATGTGGCACAGTGGGAAGGCTTCTGTTTCAATCCCCAGTACTGCATGAAAAAGAAAAGAACAAGAGCACGAAGAAGAAAAGGAGGAAGAGGAGAGGGAGGGGGGAGGGGGAGGAGAAGTAGGAAAAAGAGAAAGAAAAGGAAGCAGAAGGTGGCAGATTAGGACAAGCTTGGGCCAGAGAATGGTCAGTGAACCACTGGACCTAGAGTATAAAGATTCTAGGAAAGGCGATATGATCCGTGATCACCGAACACACTCTTAGAGGTCCTAGGGCTCCCATCTACTCCTCTCTGCAAAGTGCACGTCCTCGTTCATGCCAGGCACCCCGCTGTGATGTGTACTCACCAGCTGATTCTGGTAGGCTGTGACCGCTGTGAAGACTGTCTCTGGAAAGATGAACGTTCGGAATTCCTCAGACTTCAAATTGAGCAGCGAGGCCGTGTGGTCTTTCTTCTTAATGATGTGCACCCGAGGCTGGTACTTATGCATTGAGTTCAGAATTATCTACGATGAACAGATGGGAAGTACTGAATTGTACAGACTTCTACCACTAAACAGGCCAATGCACATACAGGCAAAGCCAGAAACATACAATCTAAATTTCAAATCCAATCTGAAGATTAGGATCTATCCCTTCCTGCGTTAGGTGCGTTATTTTCACATGATACAGTGGAATCATCATTGTGAATCATATTTTACCAAAACCTGCAAATAATACAGGTTGTTACAAGGCTCTTTCTAAAATGAAAGGGTGTGGGGCCATGTGGAGGGTTACATTTTATTTATTTTTAAAATTAAGTCTTTAAAATATTTTGGCTAGCCCAGTTAGGCCAAAAAAAAAAATGCACATTTAAACTTTCTAAAATAAAATATATTTTCTAGAAGGCCAGGTTGTTATTTAGGGAGAAAAAATAAAAAAATTTAGAAAGCAGTGCAGTTACTAGACAGATCTGGGTTAGAAACCCCAAACTCCACATTCTACCTCTTTAATCTTGAGCCAAGTGATCTCACCCCTCCTGCTTTTAGACCCCACCTCTCCTGGTTAGACAGTGTAACCCTTACAAAGGACATAGGAAACAGCAAGCACTCAGTGTGCCTGTGAACTGGATGATCATGATGATGATTGCAGCACCCTTGGTTCCTAACTTCCAGTTATAAAACTACACCTCAATCACAGCAACGGCCAGCTTCCATTCTGTAGCTAATAAAAGCTGCCAGATTCTTAAAAATCATAAACACACCCTGGTTAACAAGGCAGCTAAGAAACCGTATTTTCCTTCACTTATCTTCTAAACAAAATCTACCATTATGAAACCCGAGTGACAAAACTCAATTTTTAGACATTAAAAAAAACAAAACAAAACAACTTCCCCACCTTCCCTACTGTTGCCTAAATACCCTATATAAATCTGCAAGATTGGGTCTTTCTTTGCTGGGATGGGAGATGCACATTGTGTATGCTTCACCAAGCTCCCAGCAGAGACCCTTGGGAAATATTTCATTAACAGTACAGTGGGATGGAAGACACCGTTGGTGGCTGCGGCTTACATTGTGACTGGTGGCTCCCTTGTTTTCCCAGCTTTAGCAGAGTTGTATAGTTAAGCACTGTGGGACAACTTGTATACCCGTGGACCTCTATAGATTTAACCAACCTTGGATCAAAAGTTTCTTTTCTAAAAACTGCATCTGTACTGAACATGCAGAGTTTATTCTTACCATTGTTCCCGAAACAATACGGCATAATAGCTATCTCGGTAGTATTTACATTATATCAGGTAGTATAAGGACTCTAGAGATGTTAAAGGATTTAAAAGGTTATGTGCCAACACTGTTTTATTTTATATGAGAAACTTGAGCATCCATCCATTTTGCTTCTCTTTGGGGGTCCCAGGACAAAGCTCCTCAGGATATGGAGGGATCTGCTATATAACAAATCTCTGTTGCCAGTCTCTTTTAACTTTTAAGCCAATTTAAGGAGGAGAAGAGTGGAATTTGCCCATGCTACTTTGGGTAATCGCAAGTCAGAATAGGAAATAAATGAGATCTTCAATGAATAAAATGAACTTTACAAAATGATGTCATCTCCTTGTATAATTCATTTATTCCAAGGACTCCAAGATATCCGCGATTAACCATAAAAGCAGAATAAACCTGAAGCAATAATATTGTGAAAATAAACTTCAACAGTCCTTGTATACTCTCCTAAGCAAATAGGAAGAGTTTTCAAAGTGCATATTCACTTACTCACCCACGCATTCACAAACTAAAATGAAAAAGCCTGAGCTTCAAATAACATCTCCCTCCCCACTCCCCTCATCCTAGGCCACGTTCCTTTGGGAATGGTCCCTGCATGGTCAGACCCCAGGGCTTCCTGACTCTGCTCAAGGACTCATGAGGCTGAGAAACTGGTGGGAATGTGGATCCTGCTTTACTGGAGAAATAAATGAATGATTTTTCTGTTATAAAACTAAACGCATCTGTAAGAGTTCTTCAAAACTGCTTCAGAAACTTGTCTAAACACAGTACCTAAAAATTCTTCCTTGTGTATTTCAGAACATGCTAATTGTGATGGTTATATTAAGTCATAAAAGTTCTGAAGCTAAAATGGATACAAGCAACCATCTAAGACTAAACAATTTGCCAGGATCTAATCTTGGCCCTATCTGGCTAGAATTCAGAGCTCCTAAATCCAGCTTAATATCATTCCCACCCATGAAGCTGACCCTAAAAGAAAAATATTTTCATTTTGAAGAGTGGAATCCTCAAGTCTTCCTGAAAAGACCCAAATCATTCTTCTAAAAACTTCGCATATGAAAAATATGAGGACCGGAAAAGAGTTTCTTTTTCCTTGCAAAGATTTCCATTGGAGCCCAAGAAATTTTAATATGAATGGTATTAAGAATGATCACTGACTTACAAAAAATATCACTCAAGCTGGCATTGTGGGGCACAACTATAACCCCAGCAGTCCGTGAGGGTGAGGCAGAAGAATTATAAGTTTGAGACCAGCTTGGAGTACTTAACAACTTAGAGATTCTGTCTCAGAATAAAGAATTTTAAAAGGGTTGGGATGTAGCTCAGTGTTATGGCCCTGGGTACAATTCCCAATACCTTCTCCACCTCTCAGATACTTCATAATTAGTACATTTTAACCTGAAAAAAAATTATGAATGGAGGCATCCCTCATTTAAAAAAGAGATAAAAATTATGACAACATCAGGGCTGGTGATTTAGTTCAGTAGTTCCACTGACTGCCTTGTAAGCTCAAGGACCCGAGTTTGATCCCCAGTACCAGGAAACAAAATTATGACAACATCCATAAAGGTCAAATATATTTTCCAATATGTAAAAAACCAGGAGCATGTTAACTTATTCTCAATATAGTATTTAAATAGCACTATTCACAGTCCTACCTTAACCTGCTTACTTCCTGACTTGCTTGTTTGATGGTTGGATACTGTATTTGTTTCCAGTTCCGTCCAACCATTTAAAATCAAATCTAGAACTTTCTAAATTATTATCTACTTAAATCCATCTTGAGGAAGATTTTGAAGCACTTCCTATAAATTGCACAGATACAATAAAAACTAAAACTTTCAGTAATAAAAGCTTTATTTAATACAAGAGATGGGAGAATAATTATACCACTCTATCTAAGCCAAGGAAGGTAACTATGAAAATATCCATGTTTATTAGCAGAGTGAAGAGATAAAATGGGAAAAAATTTTGCTAACTAATTTTTTTGCAGAGGATTAATATCTAGAATATACAAAGGACTGAAAAAAATCACCCAAATCAATAACCCATTCCAAAAAATGGGCAAATAAAATAAATAGACATTTCTTAAAAGACATACAAATGGACAATAAGCACATGAAAAAATGTTCATCATCTTGAGCCACTAGGAAAATGCCAATTAAAACAACTTTAAGATTTTATTTCATCCTAATAAGAATGGCTACCATCAAGAATACACACACACACACACACACACACACACACACACCAAATAGTGGCAAGGGTGTGGGGGAAATAAACCCTTGAACCCTTGTTGGTTGGTGAGAGTGTAAAATAAAAATAGTACAACCACTATAAAAATCAGTGTGGAGATTCATCAGAAAACTAAAACTAGAAATTCCATTTGACGCATCTCTCTCCCTTCTAGGTATCTTCCCAGAAGAGTTAAAGCCATCGTCATAGACGAGTGACACAAACGTACCCATGTTCATAGCAGCATGATTTACAATAGCTAAAATGTGAAAACAGCCTAGATGGCCATCGGTGGGCAAATGGATAAAGAATGAGTGGTGTATATGCACAATGGAACTCTATTCGGCCATAAAGGAGTATGAATTCAAGTCATCTATAGGAAAATAGATGGATCTTGAGACCATAATGTTAAGTGAAATAAATCAGACGCAAAAAGTTAAATATCATTTGGTTTCCTTCATGTAAGAAGTCCAATTATAAATAAAGAGTGAAACAAAGGTGGGGGATTAAAAATGATGAAGACATAGATAAACAGAGAGCCATCCTTTGAACAAATGTAGATTTCATGTGTTGTAAACATGTGTCGCTATGTTTTCATAAACTGGGGATCCAACTGTGGACCTGGGCTTGTGAGGCAGATAGCAGCACCACTGAGCTACATCACTGGCCCTCAAACATGTATCTATTAAAGTAATAATTATAGTACATTTTTTAAAGGGCTAGGGATGTAGCTCAGTGAGAGGCCCTGGATTCAATCTCAGAGAGAGAGAGGGAGAGAGACAGAGAGAGAGAGAGAGAGAGAGAGAGAGAAGAGAGAGAGAGGAAAGACCCATGTTCTTTCTGTCTGACAATGGAAGCAAAGCACACAACAAAACAACCTCTTCAATAAGAAGTGTGCAAGTCTGCAAGTTTTCTTAACATAAATCTAAAACAGAACTGGTGTGTAACTTTTATTTAAGAGAACTGAATCACATCACAGACGACACCTTAAAAAGGAACTGTATAAAATGTGCCAGGGCCTTCAGATGCCTGTTCTGTTGACTATTGATGAGAGCTCAGAGTTGTAATTTCCTTTTTTTTTTTTTTCCACATTTCAGAGAACCGACACAAAATCAACTGTGCTTTGTTTTTAATTGCAAGGAGGTTGTTTTCCCCTGCAATATTCGGGATTTAATCCAGGGCCTTTGCACTGAGCTACATTCCTAGCTTTTCATCCTTTCATTTTGAGACAGGGTGAAGTTGCCCAGGCTGAGCTCAAATTTAGCCTCCCGGAGTGCTGGGATTACAGGCATGGGCCACCAGGCCTGGCATCAAACTCTCCCAAAGTGATATGTAAAGCATTTTTGCAAACTCCTATGTCAAGACAGCCCTTGTGTTCTGTTGTATCTCAGGGGAATGTGTTCTGCATATTGACAGGGGCCCCAGGAGGTCTGAACTCATCTCTTTTATGCTGTGTTTACGTCCTACCATCATCAATCAGATGCTTAACCTAATGAGAGGTTTCAGGTCACCTCCAAAAGCGCATGTTCTCCATGTTTCCCTGTCTCAGGTAAGAAAGCAGCTGCAGGCGCACTAGGAAATTCGTGGTGCAGAAGATCCCATACCCTTCTGTACAGAAAAGGCCCCCAGACCCCTGTATGTGACTTCCGGACAAAACCAGTCAGAGTCCCCTGAAGAACTCATGCCTGCGCTCACAGGATGACTCAGAGATGGAGAGTGGAGGTGGAGAGGTAGAGGAGAAGGGGCGGAGAGAGACACTTGGTGTGGTTTTGTTTCCATCCAGGGAACCCCACACAGCCAAGGGGCCTCATACTTACATGGCCATGTTGATCCAGTTCGTTGTTGGTGAGTTTCACCTTTTCAAAGGACACCATCTGTTTGAGTAGCTGCTCCCCGGTAAAGGGAGAGTCGGGGTGCACGTAGAGCCTAAGGAAATTATGAGAAAACTGTACTGAGATTTTTTAAAAAGTCTATCTCTGGGTTATAAAATGCGTGGATTCTGAAGAACACAGTAGCCTCTAAGACATAGCCTGTTCTATTTGCTCTATATATCTCAAATTTATTGACAGAAATGCCAAAATAACTACAATATCTTATGTATTTCTTCAGGTACCAATGATTTAAAAGGGGCAAAACTTAATAAATCTACTATGTGCTGAGTAAGCCAGTTTTTAAAGATAGGTTATTTCATCTACATAGTTAGCTACTATTCTGTGTCTATCAAATATAAAAATCTCATTGTAGATATTTTTCAAAGAAAGGCTAGGCTACACTATCTGCGCAAGGTTTTTTTTTTTTTTTCTTTTTTGCATGAGTTTTTATTACAACCATTACTGAAGAACAATGAAAACAAAAATTTGAAAGAGGAAACAACTTTAGACAACACAATTTTTTAACGCTTAAGTCGCTCCATTGAAAGCATGTGCACATTACAAATATAAGACAAAGTGATTTCAGCACGGATACATGGAGGGTTTTTTGTGCCCCCCCCCTGCAGTGCTGAGTACTGAACTCAGGGCCTTTGTACATGAGTTACACTCCCAGTTCATTTTTTATTTTTTACTTTGAGACAGGGTCTCACTAAATCACTGAGATGCCCAAGTTGGGCTCAAATTTGCCATCCTCCTGCCACAGTCTCCCAGAGTGCTGGGATTACAGGTGTGCACCACCACTCCCAGCTGGGGAGAATGTTCAGTAGCCCACAGATGAGAGGTGAGAGCCTTTTGCTCCTTCTGGTACTTTACACATTACCACATACTCATATATTGGTTGGTGCACTCACTAAAGAAGCATTTAAGGCTGGCTAAGCTTTGATTTATTCAATTGGTTTATTTGTAAATAGCTTAAACAAACAAACAAACAAACAAACAAACAAACAAACCCTTTTATCCTGTGTGGATCTGTTGCTAAGTGCAAGGCACTCTTTCACTGCCTGTAACACACACCATTCCTTTCCCTGCGGCCATCCTCTTAAGTACAGCTCTTTGGAAATCCTAATGCTAGTATAGTGACACAATCTTTCCAAAATCAGAGGGAAATTACAGAATTAATGATAAGGAAGGCGAAATCTTTGTTTTAATAGAACAAATTGTTTTTCTTTTTTCTTTCTTTCTTTCTTTTTCTTTTTCTTTTTTTTTCTGGTGCTGGGGATTGAATCCAGGGTCTCATGCATACCATGCACATACTCTATCACTGAGCCTCAGGCAAATGCTGATGAACTCTTTTATTCATATAACAGGTCACTCCTATGGATGTTTTGTATAGGATCCTTATAACTATAATAAACATAAACGTTTTGGTTGGGAGCAAAAGCAAAGGGAAAACATCAGCAAATACCTTTTCTTACAATTTTCATGTAAACAGCCAGGAGTCTGCACTGTGGTTTGTCATGAGAAATGGCTGAGCTCAGAGAAATCACACCTCATCGGGGCTGGAACTCACCAAGCCCAGCAGGAGCAAAGCAAAGCTTGGGCTGGCAGCGCTCCTGGATCTGACCAGACCCGCAGAAGACTTAAAACTTAAAATTGGAGGGCTCTGTCTGCCTCTTGGTTCCATTGTTTCAGGTGGGGAGCTCATAATAACTGCTTTTCCATGAAAGCACGGTAGCTTCTCGAGTTTCATCTTTCCAAAGTTGCAATTTTATTTTTAATTAGTAAATTATTTTTATTAGTATACTTTAGTGATGAATAATAAATATATTCATAGTGGGGTATTGGTACATATCCATATCACGTCTTGATCCTTTTTTTTTTTTTTACTTTATTTTCCCCTCTCTTCCCTGTCATTTTCTCCTCATACCAAGCTCTCCTTCCTATCTCCACAAAGTCTGTCTTCCTGTTTTAAAAAAACAAAACAATAACGACAACAACAACAACAACAAAAAAAAAACCCAGGAAAAATATTTTCAGTAAATAGAAAAAAAGTTGTGATTTTTACAGTGCCATAGTTTTATTGATCAATACCATATTCTACCTCCCTCCAAAATAATCAAAATCACTGGATGTCCTATTGATGAAAATGCTCCCTTTTAAACCAGTCACTCTATGTAATCACATTAATAAAAGCAACTTATTTAAATGTCAGTTACTTGAGAGAAAAGATGTCCTCTATGAACATGTAACATTATTTAAGGCACGAATAATGTCTTGCCCAGTGTTACTCAATATTGCCAAGCATTATTTCTTCCTTCTAATTAGAAAGAACCGACTAGTGAACTTCAGTCTAGGCTAAAGTGCTTCAAAGACCTAGAAATACAAGGACTTGCTGCCATCAAACAAAAATTCTGGGTGCCTGAGTTCTTCCTCTTTCTTTTATGGAGACAGAAAATATAGCCAACTATTTCTTATAATATTAGAAAAAAACATAGTTGCTTAAATTATCTAGAATATTTCTATCCCATGATGCACTATATATTTTTATCTAACATCAATATAAACAAGCTGAACTAGAATAAATGCAAAAACACACAGGAAGCTACTCTTCTCTCAAGCACCCATCTCACCCCCACCCCAGACTTAAAATTCCAGCAATAGCTTAAACATGCTTCAGTTGAGATAGTGCATTGGTACATGCTTTCTTTCTCTAACCAGAGCAGATTAGTAACATAAACAAGACATGTCATATTTCCAAAGTCTGCTGCCTGCACCATTCCCATACCTTCAGATAGGAAGAAAATGTATGTTAAATAAGAGTGATTAACTTCTTAGGGAAAAGGCTGGGGGAAACAAACAAAAAAAAAAAAGCAGTTCTTGCTTACAAGAAATGGTTAGGAATCTGCTAAAATGTTTCCGTCTCTCCCTGTCTCCCTTTCTCCCTTTACTCTGGTCTAAAACAATATTGAAAAGTTAGGAAGGAAGCTCAGTAAGAATAGTACATTGGCTAAGAAATAGTTTTTTAATACCACTAATTTTATTAATTTGATCTCTGCTGTGAATTAGTACATCTTGCTCAATTAAAATAAGTGACTTGTGTCTGGGTAGGGTGGCACATACCAGTAATCCCAGCACTCTGAGAAGCTGAGAGAGGATCAAAAATTCAGGCCCAGCCCAGGCCATCTAACAACTCAGTGGGACTATGAGAGAAAATTAAAAATAAAATAATAAAAAAGAGACCTGTAGATACAGCTCAGTGCAAAGGCCCTAGGTTCAATCCCTGGTACAATCAAGCTAACTAAATATGTGACTTGTAATTTTTAAAATATTTCTTAGTCCTGTTATTTAATACTGATTTGGAAGGGCTGCAAAGATGATCTTCCTAACCTCATTTTAGAACAGAAAATTGAAAGCCTGCTGTTCATCTCTTCTCTAGAGCAGTTGGTATAGTATAAACTCAATAATGTGATCGACTAAGTAAGCTGAGTATTCTGACTGATGGATGTGTAAATTATGTTGATTCTGCACCTTCTAGGACTGTGGACCAGATACAAAGAAACAACCATAGCTTCAAAAAAATCTGCACATTGAAATAAATTCCTAGTTGTGTCAGGAACCTTCAATCAATTACAAAAAAAAAAAATATTGCTCACGAAACAACTTAAAATTGGTGAGGTTTTTGAACCCAAAATATAAAGCTAATATTCTGTTTTATATTAAAGTTTGCAGTTAGAATACTGTAATTTCAGCTCTTACATCGTACTTGCTGTTCTGAAAACCCTAGGATCCTCATTTGGGCAAAGCAGCAACAACAGAGGTTTGTATAGGATTTTTCTTTTAAATAGGATACTCAGAAAAACACTATGAGCAATAACTGCCACAAGAGTGATCATATATTATATCTAATAGATTATGCTTCACATAAAAGAATATTAACTTGTTGAATTGCATTCACCCACTAAAAACTGTAGAGGGGAAAAAAAGAATTTACTTTTCTTAAAAATCTCTGTACCCTTTACTGCTTAAAAAGCAACACCTTTTTACCAAATGATACTTAATATGTACAATAGGACACCCTGAAAACCAAGCTAACAAAGATCTAGAGTAATCCTAAAATATATTCTTCTAAAAAAAGGATTTTAGGGCACCCCGTCACCAGTAGGTTTACTTAGTCTGGTTTTAAGCAGCCAGTTAGAAATTTTATAGGCATCCAGAGGTTCACATTTCTAAGGAATGTTCAAACTGAAATGTAAGGAAATCTCTGAAATAAATTATAAGGAAAGACAAATTTTAAATGCACAAACTCTGCCTTTCTTGGAGACTAACCCGCCGGAAGTATGGAGACTTGGAAAGCTCAGGCCGGAGCCACCTGGCTGCTTTAAACACAAACACAAACCGGCTCAGAATTCACAGAGGGAGAAATGCATTTGTTTGCAGGAGGCTGTTGGGGCACAAACCTGGCGGGCAGCGGAGGATCGGCTTTGCCGGCCACCAGCCAGGAGGAGCGGTGGTAGGCGTAGCGGTACCTCTTGTTGTCTACCGGCACGATGTCCATCAACACGATATACTTGGCCTCAGGATCCACGCCTGAAAATGACACCCGGATGGTGGGAAACATCCTCCTGGCAGAGAGAGTGGGGGAGGGGGTCGGCTCGGTTTACATGTCCCAATGGCCGGACCCAAATTAAGGCAAAAGGGACAGGAACACATCCCTTCCTTTCTTTCTCTGTTACCCAACCTTGAGGTGCTCCCTTTGCTTTCTTGGAAAGCCCCGGAGATGCCAACAGAGAGACACACTTGCATGCAAGGTACATGATTTTAAGTGCCAAAACCTCATTGCCAGGTGAGAGTTTTGTGTTCCAACCACCCCCAAATCTGAAACTCTGTAATCATATCAAGTCATCGTCAAGGACTTTACATTCTGGAGGACCCAGTCACCAGACCTGACAGTGGTGCAGCACCCAGGGGTGAATGGAGGACAGTGGGGATTCTTGGAATGAGTCTTAGAGACCCTGTGGGCATTGAGCTGGAAGGATCTGGTTCAAGGCCACCGACCTTGGGGGCCTTTGCTGCCTGCATGTGGCTTCCAGCCCTCCAGACCCACCCAGTCCCAGACCAAGGGACCACTCTTCCAACCAGTATCTTAGCTTTCAAATTTCACTCTTCAGGTTTAAATTTTAATTTGTAAGGGGAGCTGCATCTTCGGCACACAGAAAACTGAGAATGATTAAAGAGAAGCCATCCCCTTCCCTCTTAGCACTCAATGGCCCTGCATCCAGACCCCCTGGAGTTCTGATCCAGTATCCAGGGTCTCCTAGGTTCTGGGAGAGGAGGCCCAAAGTCTCCTGTCCCTGTGGCTTCTTCCCAGGCCCAGTGGGGCTCCCCAAGGCCACAGCCCGAAATACCAGACATCCATTTCCGCAGCTCTTTCCCAAGGCCAGCGCCTGGAAAGCAGCTGCCTTTGGTGGACACTGCCTCCACGACCTGCCAGATCCCCCCCGTCCAGTCCCCAGAAGTACCCCCAAGCACCTCAAGCATCTCTTCATCCCACGCCCCATCCTCCAAGACCTGGCTACCTGCCCGACTTGGTGATGATCATCTCTGTGCCCAGCTCATGGAACTTGTCCCACAGCTCCTTGGTCTCCAGATTGCAGGTGATTTTGGCCATTTCCTCGCTGGGGATGATGGGGGCGGTGGGGATTAGAGGCTCAGTGCACAGTGAGGAGGAGGATGGGCTGCTGCTTCCTCCCCCGCCGAAATCCCCCTGAGCGTCCAGGCTGGTCAGCTCACCCAGGGGCTGGGCGCAGGACGACTTCTCCACAAATTGTTCTGTAGGCACAGGGAAGGGACAACTATAGCTCTCACTGTCAACCCAGGAAAGACTCGGGGAAGAAAGCAGATCCAAAACAACCTGAACTGGGCTCTGGGAAAGTGACACAAATTCTGGGACTCTGGCCAGGACCTAGCACTGTGGGAAGCCTGCAGGCAGCTCCTGGAGTGAAAGGTCCCCTGCTTGGTACATTATTTAACGAAACCGCACAGTTCTAGAAGTCATATGATTGAAACCCCATGGGGGAGTCAAACTATGAAGAACAAAGAGAAGGATGGTGATCACAAAGGATAAAATGAAAATATTCCTACGGTTTTCCCTCCCCAATTCTAGATTTCACAGACTGGAACATGGTACGAGTCTTGCCTCAATGACAACCTGATTTTTCTTCACAGAGACCAAAGGAGCAAAGATTCTGCCTTTAGCTTCCTTCACTTTGAGTGGAGCTTTCCCTTCCTTGATGGAGCACTCCCTCTCTCCCTCCCTCCCTCTCTCCCTTCCTCTCCCTCTCTTCCTCTCTCTCTCTCTCTCTCTCTCTCTCTCTCTCTCTCTCCCTCTCTCTCTCTCTCTCTCTCTCTCTCTCTCTCTCTCTCTCTCTCTCTCTCTCCATAATAGAAAAAGGAAAGTACAAGGAGATAAAAGAAAGATATAGATGTTCTTGAAAAAGAGTAAGTTGCTTCAGCTGTACGAGGAGAGAGCAAAACAGAAAGTACAAGGAGATGGAAGAAAGATATAGATGTTCTTGAAAAAGAGTAAGTCCCTTCACCTGTACGGGGAGAGAGCAGAACAGTTTCATAGCACGCCCCACTCCCCAAGCCTGAGAGCTTAGGAAGGACTCCAGCATCCAGCTTGTTAGGTCACAGAAGCAGGCTGTCTGGGACATTTCAAAAAATAATTCTATGAAACAATTACATGGCATCCGCAATTGTTTTCCTCCCCAAAAGACACCCAAAGTGAGGAAAACAATGTCAACCCCAGTGTAGCAGGGAACTAGAGTGGGAAGAGCACTTCAGGACCACCCACAGCTTAGAACAGCAGCACTTAGGAGCCCAAGGTTCTCCTGCCAGCTCACAGGGCACCCACTGCAGCAGTCACTTTGATGGAACACAGGGGGACTTCTGTAATTGGCCCAATTATCTCCCATCCCTTAAAAAAGAAACTACTTGGATCTGCAATGCGAAGCCATCTCCAAACAGCTCTGCTCTACTTCTAAGTTCCCTCCAGGGCTGGAAACAAGCTCTGAACGTCTGCGCGCACCTGTGCATGATCTATGTGGGTTGTGTCGCGTTCATACCATAAAACCTTTTGTTATTCCTCACACTTCTTCTGAGGTCTGGCAGAAGGGA